CAGTAGTAGTAATAGTGGTAGTGGTAGTGGTGGTGTGGTGGGCAGCGAGGTGGCAGTAGTAGTAATAGTGGTAGTGGTTAATTTTGGGTAGTGGTAGTGATGGTGGGGTGGTGTAGTGGGCAGCGAGGAGGTGGCATCGGTGCCAAAAATATACAGGGTAAAGTAGCGGTGTGGGGGAGAGAGAGGAGGAAGGAGGGAGGTGGGAGAAAGAGGGAAGAGGGAAAGGGGGGGGGGGAAGAGGGGGAGAAGGGGATGGAGGAGAAAGGGAGGGAGGGGAGAGGGGGAGGAAGGGGGGTCAAGGAGCACTAGCCTTGGGGATGCGACCATCTTACCTGCCTGTTTTTTATTTTTGTTTTATTCAGCCTTTTATTTTTGTTAGTATTCATTATTTTGTTCTTTTTTGTTTTTATTGGCTTTTGTTTTTTGTTTATTGTCGTATATTCTGAGAAGTCCTGTGTGTTGTGTGTAATAAAATAATAATAATAAACGGTTTATTAATAGAGTTGCAGCCGGTGGCTGAAAATATACAAACTTACATGTGATTTGAACATAGTAATACGTTGAATACATTTACAGGGCTGTACAGTACATAAATCAGGGAGTTGTTTATTATTTAACAATAGATGGGATGGTGCTATTCTTATATCTATCGGTGCGGGGGCTCTTATGGGCTGAATTTTGTTGTAGTGAGGGACTGCGCGAGTTGGGTGAGGGGGCTGCAGGGGGCAGGAGGTGGCGATGACAGGGGTGGTGCAGTAGTCTGCAAACCCTGCTAGTGCTTGGTGGTGGAGGTCACTGAGGGATGGCATTTCCGGGGTGGAGAGAGGCGTTGGTGTGGCCTGAGTAGTCTGCGCCGAGCATGATTCTGCGGCCCTTTTTCTATACCTTCTCTAGCTGACGTTGTTGGGTAGAGTTGAGAGAAGACGACCAGGCTGGTGACGCATACGTTAGTTTGGGGAGAATAAAGGCGTTGTAGATGGTCCTCAGCTCTGGCGTGGGTCCCCCAAGTGACCTGAGTCGTCGTAGCATGTAGAGTCGGTACAAGGCTGCTTTGATTGTGTTGTTTACATGGGCCTTCCAGTCCAGTTTGTGGTCTATGGTAACACCCAGGAGTTTGGCAGACTGCACTAACTGGAGAGGATGGGCACCCACTGTGACTGCTGGAACTTGCACTGGAGTGGTGGCGGTATTGATGTGCATTACTACGGTTTTGGTGTGGTTGATGGTGACCTTGTTCTCCGTAGTCCATGCCTGTAGCCTGTCCAGGGTGCCTTGTAGCGATGAGTAGTCTGGTGCGGTGTTGTCCACTGTAACCCCCACAGTGCAGTCATCCACATACTTCCACCTGTGAGGAGTATCCGATAGAGCGTCGTTGATCAGGATTAGGAAGCACAGTGGAGAACACTGCAGGTGAGGTGTTGTAATGTGGAGACCAAGCCCTGGTACCTCACTGTCTGACGAAGCTCGCTCAAGAAATCAGTGAGCCATGAGACCAGGTTGGTGGGCAGCCCTAGTGCAATAGCCTTGTTGATAACAGTGCAGTGATCAACAAGGTCAAAAGCCTTCCTAAAGTCAACAAGGGCAACGGCCAGTGATGTCTTACATGTGTGTGTGTGTGTGTGTGTGGGTGTGTGTGTGTGTGTGTGTATGTATGTATGTAGAAGTAGCGTTGCTGACCCTGATTGAAGCGGTGCACATTGTAAAGGGGTGACCAGTCTCTCTCTCTCTCTCTCTCTCTCTCTCTCTCTCGTTCGTTATTGTGTGTTGTTATTGTCGTTCATTGTTATCGGTCTGTACTGTTCGCGTGATGTTATTCCGGCACTTGTTTTCGATAGCTTTTGTTTTATGGAGGGGGGTTATAAAAATTCGCGCGCTTTTGTGAACGCTTTTGTTTTTCAGGGGTTGTTGTTGTTGTCGTTATTGTTTATCGTTTGGGTTATTATTTTAGAAGTTAATTCGTTATCTTAGCTTTTGTTTATTGTTGTTTTAACTTTGCTTTGGATGTTTTAGCTCTTGTTTATCGTTATTGCTATTCATTTAGCTTTGATATGGTTGTTTTAGCTTCTGTTGTTTATCGGTATTGTTATTGTTTTAGCTCTTGTTTATCGTTAATGTGGATACTTTAGCTGTTATTTACCATTGTTGATGTTGTTGTTGTTTTAGCTTTCTATTTTGTTTTTAGCTTTAGTATTGTAATTAGTTCTCTCCTCCTTTGGTTTTTGTTGATTAATTTTTTTTATTTGATCTCTCTCTCTCTCTCTCTCTCTCTCTCTCTCTCTCTCTCTCTCTCTCTCTCTCTCTCTCTCTCTCTCTCTCTTCTTATGCTAATTCATGGTCTCTTAACTTCTCTTATCTCTCTTTCTATTCCATTTATTCTTTCTTTCTTCTTTTTCTCATGCACAGATTTGGCTGATATCTTCTTCCTCTTCCTCCTCTTCCACCTTCCTTCTCCACCTTCCTTAATTCCTCTTCCTCCTCCTACCTCCTCCTCCACCATAACTCTTGCTCCTCCATCCTCCTCCTCCTCCTCCTCCTCTCTCCTCCTCCTCCTCCTCCCTCCTCCCTGCTCTTCCTCCTCCTTCCTCTTCCTCCTCCTCTTCCTCCTCCTCTTCCTCCTCCCCTCCTCCTCCTCCTCCACTCTTCTCCTCCTGCTCTTCTCTCCTCCCTTCCTCTTCCTCCTCCTCTTCCTCTCCTCCTCCTCCTCCTCCTCCTCCCCTCCCCTTCCTCTTCCTCCTCCTCCTCCTCCCCTCCTCCTCCTCCTCCTCCTCCTCCTCCATAACTCAACTCATCTGCTTCCACCAAACCTTCTAGCTAGTGGCGTGGTCCTCCTCCCAGAGTGAGAGCCATCAAGAGCTACACCTTGAGCTATAAATTGTACCTCCGTGATCCATCTGTGTGTGTGTGTGAGCCATCAGAGCTACATGAGCTATAAATTACTGCCTCCGTAGTCCATCTGTGTGTGTGTGTGTGTGTGTGTGTGTGTGTGTGTGTGTGTGTGTGTGTGTGTGTGTGTGTGTGTGTGTGTGTGTGTGAGCCATCAAGAGCTACACCTTGAGCTATAAATTACTGCCTCCGTAGTCCATCTGTGTGTGTGTGTGTGTGTGTGTGTGTGTGTGTGTGTGTGTGTGTGTGTGTGAGCCATCAAGAGCTACACCTTGAGCTATAAATTACTGCCTCCGTGATCCATCTGTGTGTGTGTGAGCCATCAAGAGCTACACCTTGAGCTATAAATTACTGCCTCCGTGATCCACCTGTGTGTGTGTGCGTGTGTGTGTGTGTGTGTAATAATAATAATAATAATAATTAACGGTTTATTGAAAGAGCTTGGCAGTCAGAAGGCTGAAAATATACAGTTACATATTTGGGGAATGGGTTACGAATTACAAATAATATACAAGTAACATAAGTGACACAAATAAGACATATAATAGCTAGATGGGGAAAAGCTCAAACTACAGTTCATTTCAACATAGTGACAGTGTAAGGAGCAGTGTTTACTGGGAGTGAATACACTGATTTATTACAAGTTATTGATAATGTTTACAATGGTTGGGACTGGGCTGTTCTTATAGCGATCAGTTCGTGCACGTATGGGCTGGATGCGGTTGTGGTGTCGAACAGCAATTCTCGGACAAGGGATCTCAGGTGGTAGTAGGAGCCGGTGTCGGGGATGGTGTAGAAGCTTCTTACCAAATTTGCAGATGAGGCCGTGGTGATGGTCAGTGAGAGTCGAAAGGGTCAGTGTGTTGAGCGCTTCTTGATATGTGGAGTAGGAAGGGGAGAAAATAATCTTGCATGCCCTCTTTTGCACTTTTTCTAGGTGTTTACGTTGTGTGGCATTTAGGGAGGAAGACCAGGTGGGGGAGGCATAGGTGAGCTTGGGAAGTATGAATGTTGTGTATACACTGAGGAGCTTGTGTGCAGGAACCTGGGAGGGACTTGGAGGTCGGCGGAGGAGGTGGAGACGGAAACTGGAGGATTTGACAACTTCACTGACGTGTGGTTTCCAATTTAGTTTGTTGTCTATGGTGACGCTGAGAGCTTGTGAATTCACAACCTGGAGTGTGTTCGGACCTAGAGTAATGGAAGGAGGTGGACAATGTCGGAGGAGAGGGTTGATGTGCATAACCATGGTCTTGGTATGGTTGATGGTGACATGGTTGTTGGTGGCCCAGCTTTGGAGACTGTTCAATAAATCCTGAAGGGCGGTATAGTTGGGAGCAGAATTGTTGACGCTGATCCCAATGGTGGAGTCGTCGACATATTTCCAGCGAGCAGGGTTTTCTCTTAGGGCATCATTGATGAGCATAAGGAAGCAGAGTGGTCCCATCTTGGTGCCTTGGGGGACGCCACAGGTGAGTGACTGAAAGGTGAGACAGCCCTCGGAAGCGTAAGCAGCTTGGCGTCGGTCAATGAGGAAGTCTGTGTTATGGTATAAGACTTCTCCGGAAGCCTGAGGTCAATAGCTTTGTTGATGATTATATTGTGGTCGACTAGGTCGAACGCTTTAGTGAATCAATGGCTATGGCTAGGCCATAGACATTTTCTCACTTTGAGATGGCGGTATATGTAATCGAGAAAGCTGGCAAGACAGTGAGTGGTGGAGGAAGTTTTCATGTTGCCAAATTGCTGAGGGTCTACGACTCCTGCAATATCAGCATAAGCCCAGTCAAACACAAAACTTTCACAGATTAGGCTGGGTATTGGGGGTGATTGCAATAGGTCGTAGCTGATTTAAGGATTGTGGGCTGGTTGACTTGGGCACTGGTGATACATAAGAGGTCTTCCAGTCAGCTGGGCATCTGGCTTGACTGAGAGAAGCATTGATGATGGCGCAGAGGGGTTTAGCAAGCTCCGGGGAGAACTCCTTGAAGAGTTTCATTGGTAAGTCAATGGGTGTGTGTGTGTGTGTGTGTGTGTGTGTGTTTTTGTATCTTGGATTATTTTTATTGTTGACTTTATTTACTTTTTTTAATAGATTTTCTTTCCTTCTTAATTTAATGGCCCAGACATTTGGGAATTTAATGGCCCAGACATTTGGGAATTTAATGGCCCTGACATTTGGGAATCTAATGGCCCAGACATTTGGGAATCTAATGGCCCAGACATTTGGGAATTTAATGGCCCAGACATTTGGGAATCTAATGGCCCAGACATTTGGGAATTTAATGGCCCAGACATTTGGGAATTTAATGGCCCTGACATTTGGGAATCTAATGGCCCAGACATTTGGGAATCTAATGGCCCAGACATTTGGGAATTTAATGGCCCAGACATTTGGGAATCTAATGCCCAGACATTTGGGAATTCTGAATGCCCAGACATTTGGGGAATCTAATGGCCCAGACATTTGGGAATTTAATGGCCCTGACATTTGGGGATTGAATGTCCCAGACATTTGGGAATTTAATGGCCCAGACATTTGGGAATCTAATGGCCCAGACATTTGGGAATTTAATGGCCCAGACATTTGGGAATCTAATGGCCCAGACATTTGGGAATTTAATGGCCCAGACATTTGGGGATTGAATGGCCCAGACATTTGGGAATCTAATGGGCCGGACATTTGGGAATCTAATAGTTTGGGAATTTAATAGCCCAGACATTTGGGAATCTAATAGCTGAACATTTGGAATTTAATATGAACATTTGGGGATTGAATAGCCCAGACATTTGGGAATCTAATGGGCCGGACACCTGAATTTAATGGCCGGACATCAGAATTTAGCCAGACATCAGAATTTAAGTCCCGGACATCAAATTTAATGGCCCGGACATCCGAATTTAATGGACATCAGAATTTAATAAGCGGACATCAAATTTAATAATGATGATCGTTTTAAAACTCTATTACTCATACACAGGTCCTTCTCTTATATTTTTTATATTTGATATACGAGGTAAACATTAACTTTTTGTGTATGTATGATAATCATGTATGTATGTTAATACCTTGTATGTATATGTATGTAACCTTGTATGTATGTATGTATGTATGTAAAGCTGTCACGCCAATAAGTCGCCACCACACACCAGACCCTCATAAGCATCTCTGTATTACTCTTCCCCCTTGTTCAGTATTTACACCATGAAGCTGCCGTGTTGACCTTTACCCTCCCCCGTCAAAACATTTAGGTCTGACCTTTATCAGCTGATCGTCCCGGGAGGTAAACATTCTATCCTTTGTTTTACTTGTCACTGATCCCGGCACTGTATTTGTTTATTTGTTTGCTTGTTTATTTGTATCTTTTTTTTTTTTTTTTTTTAAGGCTGATCTGCTATGTTATCTTCTTCATCACCTCTGCTCATGTCTGCCTTCAATGTCACCTCTCTACTCTGTGTCACCTTCACCTCTGCTCATGTCACCATCGCTTATCTATGTCACCTTCATTCACCTCATGTATTACCTTTATGTCCCTCTATTTCATGTCACCTTCATCACCTCTGCTCATGTCACCTTCATCACACCTCTGCTCATGTCACCCTTCATGTCACCTCTGTTCATTGTCACCTTCATCATCCTATGCTCATTCACTTCATCCCTCTGCTCATGTCACCTTCATCACCTCTGTTCATGTCACTCATCATCACTTCTGTTCATGTCACCTTCATCACTTCTGCTCATGTCACCATCATCCTTATGCTCATGTCACCATCTCACCTATGCTCATGTCACCTTCATCACCTCTGCTCATGTCACCCATCACCTATGCTCATGTCACATCATCACCTCTGCTCATGTCACCCATCACTCACCTCTGCTCATGTCACCATCATTACCTCTTCTCATGTCACCTTTATCACTTCTGCTCATGTCACCATCACCTATGCTCATGTCCACCATATCACCTCTGCTCATTCACCATCTATCACCTCTGCTCATCATCCACCATCACTTCTGCTCATGTCATCTCACCTCTGCTCATGTCACCATCACCTTTGCTCATGTCACCATCACCTCTGCTCATGTCACCATCACCTTTGCTCATGTCACCATCACCTCTGCTCATGTCACCATCACCTACGCTCATGTCACCATCACTATGCTCATGTCACCATCACCTATGCTCATGTCACCATCACCTATGTTCATGTCACCATCACCTACGCTCCATGTCACCATCACCTACGCTCATGGCACCATCACCTACGCTCATGTCACCATACTCGCTCATGCTACCATCACCTACGCTCATGTCACCATCACTATGCTCATGTCACCATCACCTTTGCTCATGTCACCATCACCTTTGCTCATGTCACCATCACCTCTGCTCATGTCACCATCACCTATGCTCATGTCACCATCACCTTTGCTCATGTCACCATCACCTATGCTCATGTCACCATCACCTTTGCTCATGTCACCATCACCTTTGCTCATGTCACCATCACCTTTGCTCATGTCACCATCACCCTATGCTCATGTCTGCATCACCTATGTCATGTCACCATCACCTACGCTCATGTCACCATCACCTACGCTCATGTCACCATCACCTATGCTCATGTCACCATCACCTATGCTCATGTCACCATCACCTACGCTCATGTCACCATCACCTACGCTCATGTCACCATCACCACGCTCATGTCACCATCATCACTTCTATTCCTATCAGATTTTCCTCTCAGTTATCCCAGCTTTTATTGTCATTTCTTTCGTTACCTTCTTACACTTCTTTCTTCCGTTCATTCTCCCTGTCTGTCTGTCTGTCTGTCTGTACCTTGTTATGGGAGGGAAGGTTTTAACTCTTGAGGCCCCATCCTTGTGTTGCAGTGTGGTTCAGTCTGTGTATGTATGTATGTATGTGTGTGTATATGTATGTGTGTGTTTATGTATGTGTGTGTATATGTATGTGTGTGTATGTATGTATGTATGTATTTGTTTGTATGTGTATATGTATGTATGTATGCGTCTGTATGTACTGTATGTATGTACTAGTATGTATGTATGTATGTATGTATGAATGTACTAGTATGTATGTATGTACTATTATGTATGTATGTCTGTGTATATAGTATATGCATGTATGTATGTATGTGTTCGTATGAACGTATATATGTATGTGTGTGTGTGTGAATGTATGTATGTATGCATGTGTGTGTTTGTGTGAATATAAGTATGTATATATGTACGTATCTATGTTGTATGTATGTACTAGTATGTATGTATGTATGTATGTACTAGTATGTATGTATGTATGTATGTACTAGTATGTATGTATGTATGTATGTACTAGTATGTATGTATGTATGTATGTTTGTGTGTTTGTGTGTGTGTGAATGTATGTATATATATATATATATATATATATATATATATATATATATTTATATATGCATGTATGTATGTATGTATCTAGTATGTATGTATGTATGTACTAGTATGTATGTATGTATGTATGTATGTACTAGTATGTATGTATGTATGTATGTACTAGTATGTATGTACTCGTATGTATGTATGTATGTATGTATGTATGTGTGTTTGTGCGTGTGAATGTATGTATACATGTATGTGTATATGCATGTATGTATGTGTGTGTATGCCGCAGCACCTCCCCCATGACCTTTCCGTCTGTTAGCGTACATAACCCTTAACCTTCCTATTCTGTCATGTTCTCTTGCTTTCCACTCGTCTGCCATCAATCCTCTCTTGTTTTAGTCTTTTTCTCTTCAATTCTCTCACATTTTATCCTCTTTTCCTCTTTCTTTCTTTCCTTTTTAATCCTTTCTTATTTTTTTTATAATTTTCTCTTTCTCTTCCATTTATTATCTTCGTCTTCTTCTCTTATTTGCTCTTTTTTTTCCTTTTCTCTTTCTTTTTCTCTTCAATTATCTCCTATTTTATCCTCTTTTTCTCATTTTGTCTTTCTTCCCTTTAATTCTCTTATTTTTTTCTTGTTTCTCCTTTTTTCTTTCTGTTCCATTTATAATCTTCGTCTCTTTTATCCTCTCTTATTTTCTCCTCTTTTTCCCCCTATTCTCTTTCTCTTCCATTTATTACCTTCGTCTCTTTATTTTCTCCTCTTTCTCCTTTTAATATTTCTCATTTATTTATCATCTTCGTCTATTTTTTCCTTAACCTAGAGTTGTTTTTGTTTTTTTCAAAGACTTTATTTCATGTTCTTTTTATTTCCTCTCTGTTCCAGTATTATTTTTCCTTGAGGATTTTTCCCAACCTTTTCATTTACATTTTTTTCTTCCTTTGTCACTTAGGCCATTTTTTTCCCTCCTCTTCCTTCTCTCCTCCTACTCTTCCTCTCCTCCGTTCTAATAATCCTCTCTCCTTTGATCTCAAGAGGCGCCGCCATCCACTCTCTCTCTCTCTCTCTCTCTCTCTCTCTCTCTCTCTCTCTCTCTCTCTCTCTCTTCAACTTAGTACTGGAAGGTGGTCAAAGTCTTCCTCTGCACACATACTGTCTTTGTCACCTAGTACTCGTCTGTGTCCACCTAGTACTCGTCTGTGTCACCTAGTACCTGTCTCACCTTGTACTCGTATCACCTAGGTCTCACCTTGTACTTGTATCACCTAGTACCTGTCTCACCTTGTACTCGTATCACCTAGTACCTGCCTGTCTCCTTATACTCATATCACCTAGTACCTGCCTGTCACCTTAGTCTCGTATCACCTAGTACCTGTCTCACCTTGTACTCTGTCACCTAGTACCTGCCTGTCACCGTACTCATGTCACCTAGTACCTGTCTCACCTTGTACTCGTATCACCTAGTACCTGTCTCACCTTGTACTCGTATCACCTAGTACCTGTCTGTCTCCTTACTGTATCACCTAGTACCTGTCTCACCTTGTACTCGTGTCACCTAGTACTCCTCACCTTGTACTGTATCACCTAGTACCTGTCTCACCTTGTACCGTATCACCTAGTACCTGTCTGTCACTTGTACTCTATCACCTAGTACCTGTCTACCTTGCTCGTATCACCTAGTACCTGTCTGTCACCTTGTACTCATATCACCTAGTACCTGTCTCACCTTGTACTCGTGTCACCTAGTACCTGTCTCACCCTGTACTCGTATCACCTAGTACCTGTCTCACCTTGTACTCGTATCACCTAGTACCTGTCTGTCACCTTGTACTCGTATCACCTAGTACCTGTCTCTTGTACTCGTATCACCTAGTACCTGTCTCACCTTGTTCTCGTATCACCTAGTACCTGTCTGTCACCTTGTACTCGATCACCTAGTACTGCCTGTCACTGTACTCGTATCACCTAGTACCTGTCTCACCTTGTCTCATCACCTAGTACCTGTCTGTCACCTTGTACTCGTATCACCTAGTACCTGTCTGTCACCTTGTACTCGTATCACCTAGTACCTGTCTCACCTTGTACTCGTATCACCTAGTACCTGTCTCACCTTGTACTCTTTCACCTAGTACCTGTCTCACCTTGTACTCGTATCACCTAGTACCTGTCTCACCTTGTACTCGTATCACCTAGTACCTGTCTGTCACCTTGTACTCGTGTTAATTAATACCTGTGTCACCTCTTACTTACCTGTGTCACGTAATACTTGTTTGTCACGTGTTCAGGCTATAGTATATATATCACAGTGTACATGTTGCAGTGTGTTACAGTATACATACAGCCACGACATACATACATACATACATACATACATACATACATACATACATACAGCCGACATACATACATACATACATACATATACAACATTCTTGTATGGTGTATTTAAATTAATTAATATACCAGTACAGTAACCGATTAATTAGTCAGTAATAAGTTGTAATTAATGATGGATAATTATGTCTCGGTTATCATTTTTAGGATTATTGTTATTATCATCATCATCATCATCATCATCATCATCATTACCATCATCATCATCATCATCAGTTCCTCTTCCTCCCTCTCTTCTTTCCTTCTTCTACCTTCCTGCCTTCTTCCCTCCCCATTCTCTGTTTTCCTCCTCCTCCCCCCAAAACCTCCTTTTTCCTTCCTCCTTCTCCTCCTCCCCTATCTCCCAATTCTTCCCCTCTTCATATCCTTCTCTTCCCTTCCTTCTCTTCCTCCCCTCCTCCCCAAACCTCCTCTCCTCCTCCTCCTCCCCATCCTTCTTCTCCTCTCCCATTCTTCTCCTCCCATTCTCTTCCTCCCCAAACCTCATTCTCTTCCTTTTCCTCCTCCCCTCTCCTTCTCCTTCATTCTCTCTCCACCTTTAACCAGTTCTCCAGGTCATCCAGCGCTTTAACCTGTTGTGTTCTGGTTTCAGGTACGGTGCTTGATGAGGAACCTGTATGCTACCTGTGGTCTTGAGCGGCAGTGCCTACTATCCCTGGTACTGGTAAGTAGATAAGGGGTAGTGGTGGTGGGGTGGTGGTAGGTGGTGGTGGTGTGGGTGTGGGGAGGGGTGAAGTGAGTGGTGTGGGGTGGTGGTGGGGGTGGTGGTAGGGTGGTGAGTGTGGGGAGGGTGAAGGTAGTGGTGTGGGGTGGTGGTAGGGGGTGTGGTGTGGGGTGGTGGTAGGTGTGGGTGGTGGTGGTAGGTGGGGGGAGGGGTGAGGGTGGGGGTGGTGGTAGGGGGTGGTGTGGGGTGGTGGTGGGTGTGGGTAGTGGTGGTGGGTGTGGGGGGGGTGAGGTAGTGGTGGTGGTGGTGTGGAGTGGGTAGTGGTGGTAGGGGTAGTGGTGGCAGTGGTGGTGGTAGGGGTGGTGGTAGTGGTGGTAGGGTGGTGGTGGTAGGTAGGGTAGTGGTGGTAGTGGTGGTGGTAGTGGTAGGTAAGGGAGTGGTGGAGTGGTGGTAGTGGTGGAGTGGTGGTGGAGTGGTGGTGGTGGGTAGTGGTAGGGTGGTGGTAGGTGGTAGGGTGGTGGTAGGTGGGCAGGTGGTAGTGGTGGTGGTAGTGGTAGGTGGGGTGGTGGTAGGGTAGTGGTGGTGGTGGTGGCAGTGGTGGTAGGTGGTGGGGTAGGTGGGTGAGTGGTGGGTGGTGGTAGGGTGGTGGGTGGAGTGGTGGTAGGGGTGGTAGGTGTGGGTAGTGGTGTAGGGGTGGTGGTGGTGGTAGGGTGGTGGTGGGGTGGGTGGTAGTGGTGGTGGGTGGTAGGTGGGAGGGTGGTAGTGGGGTGGAGGGGTGGGTAGTGGTGTGGGTGTGGTGGTAGTGGGTAGTGGGTGGTAGGGGTGGTGGTGGTAGGTGGGTGGAGTGGTGGTGGTAGGTGGGTAGTGGTGGTAGGGTGGTGGTGTGGTGGGGGTGGTAGTGTGGTGGGGTGTGGGGTGGTAGTGGTGGTGAGGGGTGGTGGTAGTGGTGGTAGGGTGGTGGTGGTAGGTAAGGGTAGTGGTGGTGGTAGGTGTGTAGTGGTAGGGGTGGTGGTGGTGGTAGGGTAGTGGTGGTGGTAGGTGGGAGTGGTGGTAGTGGTGGGTAGTGGTGGTAGGTGGTGGTAGGTAAGGGTGGTGGTAGGGTAGTGGTGTAGTGGTGGTAGTAGTGGTGGTAGGGGTGGTGGTAGTGGTGGTGATGATGGGAATGAGTGAAGCAGAAGGTGGCACTGATACTGGCACTCATACAGGCACAAAAGATACTACACCAACTAGCTATTATTTACTAACACGAGTCTTTAGCGTTACAGTCATAAGGTCCAGCTAACTGTAAACCTATTATAGCTGTAACTATATTATATTCTTGAAGTAGCTGTATAGTCTCGGGCAGCTAAAGCTATTTGGGGGGTTATATTTAGCTGTTTGTTAGTAATGGTGTGTCTTTAAGGTTAGCTGGTGGCTTTAGCAAAATAAAAAAATAAATAAATAAAATCAAAATATATCATTCATGTATGGCTGAGGGAAGTAGAGGAGAAACGTAGACACGGTGAATAATGATAATGATGATGATGATGATGATGATGATGATGATGATGATGATGATGATGATGATGATGATGATGATGATGATGATAAGAGGAAGCCGTGTGTAAACAAAGAGGTGGAACAACACATAATTACATCTGAGGAAGAGGAGGAGGAAGAAGAGGAAGAGATGGAGGAAGAAGAGGAAGAGATGGAGGAAGAGGAAGAGATGGAGGAGGAGGAAGAGGAAGAGATGGAGGAAGAGATGAGGAGAGGAAGAGAAGAGATGGAGGAAGAGGAAGAGATGGAGGAGGAGGAAGAGGAAGCGATGGAGGAGGAGGAAGAGGAAGAAATGGAGGAGGAGGAAGAGGAAGAAATGGAGAGGAGGAGGAAGAGATGGAGGAGGAGGAAGAGATGGAGGAAGAGGAAGGGATGGAGGAAGAGGAAGAGATGGAGGAGGAGGAAGAGGAAGAAATGGAGGAGGAGGAAGAGGAAGAAATGGAGGAGGAGGAGGAAGAGGAAGAAATGGAGGAAGAGGAAGAGATGGAGAAGGAGGAAGAGGAAGCGATGGAGGAAGAGGAAGAGATGGAGGAGGAGGAGATGACCAAACAAGAGAGGATCCCAGCCCTGAATATTAATTGTATGGTCAGGTATGGAAGAGGAAGAGGAGAGGAAGAGAAGGAAGAAGAGGAGTTAGTGAAGGAGGAAATGTGATAATGGGGGAGGGGAGGAAGAGAAGGAGGTTGGAAGAGGTTATGATGGAGAAGGGAGAGGAAAAGAAGGAGGGGGAAATGAGATGGTAGAGGAGGAAGGAGGAGTACGAGGTGATGGAGGAGGAGGAGGAGGAGAAGATGAATGAGGGAAGGAGGAAGGGGAAGGAAGAGGAGGAGTTGCTGACAAAACAAGAGGAGGGAAGATCTCACACCAGAATAGCAGCGGTCTGATCAGATATTCACACTCTTGAATTGTTTAGCAGTCTGGGTCCAACACTGCTCTCTGGTGGTGGCCGAGGTGGGGGAGGAGGGGGGAGGAGAGAAAGTGGGGGAGGGGGAGAGAAGGTGGGGGAGGGGGTTGGAGGAGAAAGTGGGGAAGGGGTGGGAGGAGAGAAAGTGGGGGAGGGGAGAGAAAGTGGTGAGAGAAAGTGGGGAGGTGGGGGAGAGAAAGTGGGGGGGGGGAGGGGGTGGGGAGGAGAAAGTGGGAGGGAGGGTGGGAGGAGAGAAAGGGGGAGGGGGAGGGTGGGAGGAGAGAAAGTGGGGGGGGGAGGGAGGGGGGGGAGGAGAGAAAGTGGGGGAGGGGGAGGAGAGAAGGTGGGGGGAGGGGTGGGGGTGGGAGGAGAGAAAGGGGAGGGAGGGGTGGGAGAGAAGTGGGGAGGGGGGAGGAGAGAAAGTGGGAGGGAGGGGGTGGAGGAGAGAAAGGGGGAGGGGGGGGGAGGAGAAAGTGGGGAGGGAGGGGGGTGGGAGGAGAGAGGGGGAGAGAGAAGGTGGGGAGGGAGAGGAGTGGGAGGGGGTGGGAGGCATGAAGGAATGAGGGAGGAAGGATGGGATTAGGATGGAGGGATGGTTGTGGGTTAATTAATCTCTCTCTTTTCTCTCTCTCCTCTCTCTCATATAAGAGTTGCTGATATTGTTCTCATAAATTCTTCATACACGACTCCTTAGTGTTGTATTTGTTCACTTGTTTCTCTGTAGTTGTTGTGGTGTTGTATGTTGTATCGTGGTGTTGTTGTGGGGGAGAAGAGCCAGGGGTAGGTCAAGAATGACATGGGAGAGGTTATAAGAATGACCTCATGAGAGACTTGACGAGACTGTGCAGCATGGACAACTGCCACAGGTTAACCCACGTGAGGGTGGAAAATGACCATGATGATGATAAAGATGATTGTTTACTTTCTGTGAGAGTTGGTACAGTGTATGTAGGAGCAGGCGCGTGTGTTTATATACAAGGTATGTGTTTATGGGTGGTAACTGTACATAATGCCGTAATAATAATGGTTGCCCCGCATGTTGGAGGATGGCCGGCCCAAGGGCCTCCTAGGCGTGAATTTGTTTAAGGCTTAGAAGCTGTCACCAACACAACAACCACACCCTGAGTTAACGAGCTGCATGACCCAGTGTCATGGAATAGTCCGGGTAGACCGGACAACTCGCCAACTGTACTGGCTAACCATTGACCCCGAATACGATCCGTAAATCGATTAACATCCAGGTCCCCACTACTGCTGGGTAGACAGAGGCAAATGGCGTAAAGAAACTTGCCCATAGTTTCACCCTGCCTGAGGATCGAACCCGGGTTCGCTGGCTTGCGAGGCGAGCATGCTGACCACATACATTAAGGCCCGTTCTGAGAGCGAACACTCGATAGTTACTGTCGACAGTTCTCTCATCTGTGTGTCCACATGAGAGCAAACTTCTGCGAGTTTCAGCTGTCGAGAGTCTTCCCGACACTAACTGTCGGAGAGAACTCTCAGTGGTGTGTCCACCTGACTAGAGCTACACTCTACAGTATAGTGACTCAGTTAGTCGGTAGCAGTGGGTGGTAGAGGACGTGACAGAAAGTTTGCTGCAGCAGTAACAGTTATGCTGATGCTGGAGAAGAAAAAGCCAAAACAGAAAAGAAGGTGTTGGATAAAGCACCGGGTGGATCGACGAGGTGAACTGGCAGCTTACAACAGGCTTATGGAAAGAATTACAGATAGAAGATGTTCAACAATTTCACCCGTATGTCAGCAGTTAAGGTGGAAGAGTTGGTGAAATTGGTTGGATCATTCATTCAAGAGAGACACACGGATGAGGGGCCATTTCAGTTCACAAGCGAGTTATGACGCTGGTTTTTGGCATCAGGTAAGTAAACAACAAAATACACCCAGACGTCCTGTCCAATGCCAGTAATTAGTATTGATGCTCAAGTGCTTAGTTCAAATAACCCACACCTGTTGCTTCAATGAATATGCTGCAAACTCATCGTCAATAATGTGATAACATCTTTAGTTAATTAGAAGTGAAATACTTATATCCATCTGTTGGCCTTGAACATGTCTTTCAGAGGAATACTCTTGACGTTTGAATTAGACCTATTAATATATTGATGAGATTGTATTCAAATCCATGCTTCACCTCTCGAGAGCACTGTCAGACTGTGAACCTGGTCCGTATAGCTGAGAGTTGACGTGACAGTTGTGGGCTACCTTGTGTCCACACGAGAGCAGAGAGCAGCTGTCGGACAGTAAACTCTAACTATCTGACAGTTACTCTCAGAGTCCCGTCCTCTTAATAGTAGTGCTGTCGACAGCACTTTACTCTCAAGTGGACACGGGCCCTAACACCCACCTGCACTTACACCTACACCCACTTACACGCACGTCTACACTGGGGACAGGGAGGGGGGTGAAGTAGAGCCACCAGTCAGGATAATATCACGCGGCCCATCCATCACGGGTTTTATAAGTTGGTAGTGAGACGAGGCTGATACCCGCCTCTCTCTCTCCGACTTACCA